TATAGATACATGTTGTGTACTGAAAACTTGATACATGAAAGCACAAACTATCAAACAGACATATACTTACTTGTTGATGATATCACATATGGCACAATAGCATTATTCCAACGCTTTGAAAGGCTAGTTATAGCTTTTCTTGCACCAACCCCACTTTCTTCATCGGCTATTATTGCTTCAATTTCAGCTAGTTGCTCATCGGTTAACTTTATATCAGACTCAATAGTACCAGGACTTTCCGTTTCTTCGGGTGGTTCCGAAGAAGCTGCCTGTATAAAAAATATTAAAATTCTCGATCCGATATCTCAAAATGCTGAGACAAATGAGTTTGATTGATATCAGTATGTTAATTACTTACTGTGTTGGTGCAATGTACAAACATTGCCACCATAACAAATATACATATTGATTGAATATGAAGCATAGTAACCAATTCTTCAGAACGGTAACCAAGTCTATTGAATCAAATATTAAAACCGTTACTAATGACAGAGTAAAACCACTAAATAATAAACATATTCCTTGATTGCTGAAAATAATAATTTGTACATAAATTGATTGTCTCATTATCAGTCATAAGTTATTGTGTTTTCCATAATTCTTAGCTTTCTGATTTCACTTAGCTAGGTTAAATAATAATTATAAAAAGATAATATTTATATAGTACAAAACACAAATTTCAATCATTCTCTTGTCTAATATGTAGTTACAATATCCACTAAGTAATTATACACCAAAGTATGTTACATAGTACAATTGAGTGGGACATCAACATTAATATGCGTGTACATAAATCATGTTGGTCACATCTAAATTAATAAAAACAACTGGGACAAACACTAAAACAGTACTAGCCTGTATTGATCTTAAATATTTCTACCCAACAAACGTTCATAGTCATTTTTATATCTGAACTACGTTACATTACGTGTCATCACAGCAAATAAAGACAGCTAAATGTGAATAGTATTCGCGATGTGTTATATTAGTTGAATAGTTATTACACCATGATTTCAATTCAAATGGGAGGAAGGTACATATATAACACCTAAAAACAATCTATAAAATTGTTATCGTATTTTAGATGCATTTGGAAATCGCCGTGTAAATACAAAACCTTGTATATTAGCATATTGTACACTACGACGTGTTTACCATCGGAGTTACGTCGCTGTATAGACTACATGTAAATACTACATTTTACTTACAACCGAATATAAATAGGCTATCAAAGAAAGTTGGAAATATGCGCGAGTGTCAATAAACAGATACCATGCAATCAGTGCTATTCGCAGTTTTTAATTGCAAAACATGTTTTCAATTAGCTAACATATAGGTACTTTTAAATAGTGACGTTATGATTGCATTTTATCTAAGTACATTGTATAGTCAGAATTGGGATAAAACATGTACAAATTTCATTCTTTAAATCTCAACCGAAATAAGAAAGCAAAAAACAAAATTTAGAAACACAAGAACGGATTCTATATGGCCAATATTAGCAGTCCCAATAAACCAACAAAAATGAAAGGCGTATATACAAAGAAAGAATTTTGAATAATCAATACTTGCATGCATAAGAGATGCTATAGACAGATATGCTGCAAACAATTCATAGCATAAAGTTCATGATACTCACGTAGATACTTCAGATAATGTAAACACAGTCAGTCGTGTCAGAATGAATTGAACCTGAGAGCACGCTATGTTTATATGCGGTTGAATTGGCCAAGAATAATTTACATATTTCTGACGTAGTTTTTAATTCCTATATATCGCACCCACATACTGTTTCCGGAAAATCTATGTTAAAAATGTATGCAAGATATTGATCTACTTTTGAACTCTCTAGCTTGATGTCAGAGGTAACGCTATGAAGGACTAGGTTATTGATTTGTTTTCACTTGTAACTTATATGTGCATTCCATTTATATTTGTTTCTCTTGAGTCATACTAGGGTTGGGCATTTTGTAACATGCGTAATACTTCTGCAGTGTTAGTTATTTTGTTTTGCCTTAAAAAGGCTTTCTTTCTTAGCTTTCTCAAAACAAGATGAGATAAGAAATAAATCAACAAATCAACATGTGATTTGAAAGGACGGATATTTAAAGATCTGACATGAAAGACTGACTTTAAACGTCAACTATTCAAGTTTCGTCACGTTATTTGATCGAAAATAATGTACAGTACACAATCAATTTTCTCTATTCAGGAAATATTAAGCTATTCCTAACAGTTAAGTTTTTTGAGTTGAACCACATCTTCACGTGTTTTTTTTTTATTTTGTTAAACTGACAATCAGAATCCATGTACTAAATTTAAGGTCAGGAAAAGAAAAAAATACATTATTTTCAAATGAAATGAAAAAATTAATACACTGATACAAACTTGGTAGAACACCTCGACTTCATACAGGTGTACAGGGTTATATTGTCGCACCTTGCCAAGCAGAAACATGTCTAACTACGCCATCGGATATATAGAAGTGTTTTATTTGACTACGCTTCGATTTGTGTTACCCACACCATTAACTTATATTTCTACACATTAACTCCATTTATAATAGTTATATTATTTCAAAATCAAAATTATTCATATCGTATCCATTGTGAAACAAAATGTTCAAACTACGAATAATATTGATTTACATTAATTAAGTTGGAAATATATCCGATTACTATACATACGTAACAATGAAAAGTTTCAGGAAATATGATTGTCTTAATTTGTATATTAGAAAATATTATTTTTCCATGAATCTAGTAGGAAAACATTATTTTGCTGGGGTGTATTCATTTTTATTTATTTGAGCGGGTTAAGTGTCAGTGTTGAAGTACTAATCTGCTTAAAGATAAATAACTAGGAAAAAGAAAATGTGTTTTGCTTTGAAGCCTGCGATGTTTTCCATACTTTGCACAAAACGTTTCCCAGCATCGTGATATAAATTATTAGATTATTGTTTTGGTTGCTGTTACCAACAATTGAATAACACTATAACATGATTGAAACATAATGTTCAATCTGCAGTTCCTGACAGGTCTACATTAAAAACTAAACAGACGTAACAATGCAATATGTCAGAAAATATAATTGTTTTAATTTGTACATTAGAAAATATTGTTTTTCTATGAATCTAGTAGGGCAACATTAATTTGCTGAGATGTATTCATTTTTATTTCTTTTATATTTTGTGCGGGTTTACGTTTCAGTGTTAAAGTACTAAACAGCTTAACAATCGGTTATTTTGCATACATTTGTTTATTTGGAGTAATTTCCAATTCTACGCGAGGTCCTTAGTAATTAATGATTCCACGTATTTATTTGGCTGTTATTTTACAGACATTAAAATGCCATAATGTTAATTCACGGAAATTTAAACAGACCGATACTGACAGTGAATTAAAAATATTGCAACAAATACTGAATTTGCTATCTCGTGGATATAATTAAATTAAAATACTTGGCAATATATTAAGTTTTGCGTCGCATGCACGCGATTGAAATATCATATTAAATGGGCCTAATACACTAATGGTGAATTTATTTAATTGTAAGCACGAGTTTACATCCTGGAATGGCCACGATGTACCACGGATCATAGTACTACACTGTTACCAACAATTGAATAACTCTATAACATAATTGAAACATAATGTTCAATCTGAGACACATGTGATATAATTTCAGATCTGCAGTGCCTGAAAGGTCTACATTAAAAACTATACAGTCGTAACAATGACATGTGTTAGAAAATATAATTGTTTTAATTTGTACATTAGAAAATATTGTTTTTCTATGAATCTAGTAGGGCAATATTAATTTGCTGAGATGTATTCATTTTTATTTCTTTTATATTTTGTGCGGGTTTACGTTTCAGTGTTAAAGTACTAAACAGCTTAACAATCGTATACTAGTAGTTTGCATACATTATTTATAATATTTTAAGACATGGGTGAAAGGTCATTAGGTCGATATGGCAGTACTGTTATCTTTCTCGCTCATGTCGATTTCGTTTTCAAATTTCTTCTTGAGAATCTGATTCTAGTTGAATATAGTAGATCCGTGGTACATCGTGGACATTTCACAATGTAATCTCATTCTTACAAGTAATTAAATAAAAAGTTAGTATATTAGTGTTATTTTTGACTCGTTGTTAACATAACTCTATGCTATGGTATTGGTGATATATGAATTGGGTGCCATTAGGATGGTACTTGATGGCCAACCAACCTAATCAAATATGTAGTTTGCATTGTACGAGTGCAAAATAAGTTATTAGGAAATTAGGATATTAGTACCAGCTGTTTTATACGCATGCGCATTGGCCGATCCTGTCAAATCTTCTCATC